AACTCCAGCTGCTACTCAGGCCTTAAAGTAGATCACTGGTATTAATGGACACCAATGTAGCTATGAAAACAGTGCTTATTAATGATGGGTCACTAATAAATGTCATGTTTCTACAAGCTTATATTTATACAGTACATCATCCTTGAGGAGCCATAAGTAACAACTGTAAGTGCTCCAATTGTCGCATTCTGTATACTAGAATAAAATTTGATATACTGTATAAAGAGGCTCCTGAATAGCTTAAAAAGCAGAGGTGTTTGTTCAGAGAACAGATTGAGCCCTGTGGTCCAGGACAGACTGGGCCACATCACTGGCCACCTGGGGTTGGATTTAGCCACATACTGCTGTACAATTGATTATGAATGTCAGGGGGATGGTGGTCATGAGTCAATTCCCATGACTTACAGGGTTAAATGCTAGCTTGTAGTGATATTAATGACGAAGATTCCCTATAAGGTACTGTGGAGTTTGCAGGGAGTCAAAAGATGAAAGGCTCTAACATTCTATATTGGGCATAGACATTCTACACCTAATATTCTATGTCCAATACATAGGCATGTTGGAGCAGTATTTGTGTGGAACACCATTTTTCTTCATTCTGCTACATGCAAACTTTGTAGTCATACATGAGGTTTTCAGTACTATCCATATGTTTCAATATTTATCTTTTGCTTTTTTTTCTACCGGTTAGACATACATGTACTGACTGAAGTTACCTCTACATACCAGTTATTGTATACAGTATGTATTACAGAACCAGCAACTGGGCTAGATTAGAACCAATAGTCTTTCATTTAAAATGTGCAGATTGACAGACATTTGAACAATACTGCACCATCAATCAAAACACCCATGTTTGTGCATATGATAGTTATGAGTGCTGAACTGTTATGACACACACATTCATTAACAGTGACAGCACCACATTATTAGAAAAGCCAGCTTCACCTACACTTTGAGATCACAGTGTTGACCCTAACAGACAACATGGTGCTCTCCCTGTTACACCAAATTACTTGTTCCATTTATCACTGCTATCTTTATCACTACAGTAAAGATCATATCTAAGCCACCTGTGCTGTGCTCACTGCAATGTAATACTGTGCTCTCTGCAATGTAATATACCAGTGCATCAGCAATAAAAGCATGTAATGCATAGTTTGTAGTTTACTCCCAGCAGAGTACAATAAAACCTGTTCATGGCATTTTATATTACCACAAACAACCATTCTTTAATTATTTTTTTAATAAAGTATACAACATAACAACTAACACACCTGAACTACAGTAAGAAGCTAATAGCCATTAAGTATTAACATAATATGGTAGGATTTCATTTTTCATTGCTTATATATGTAAACTGACTGAAGTTTAACTAATTCAATTTTAAATGTAGTTACATACATTTTTCAATTTGATTAAAATTTCATTTTAGTTAATAGCACAAAGGCACAGTCTATTACTTCATAAAATGTCACAAAGGAAAAAGCAGATTGCACTACAGATACAGTATAGTATGACAAGGGAACAGGAACACAATTAGAATGTTACTACAGTATATATTAAGTCAGAAAGCCTTCAGTTTTACTTATTATAGACAGTTATCATATCCATCATGTTCTGTACACTCCTTTAAGTAGCTTATACTTTACTGCTCTAATTTTCTCCTGACTCCATTATACAGTACTGTATATCACATTCTAGTTGTGGTACTTTACAAAACTGCAAATGCAAGGTGCAAATGTATGGTATCTAAACTTTAAAAGTATGATCATGCTTCCTGCAGGCAGAAAATTATCTCAGGTAATCAGTGAGTTACAATAGTGGGACACATTACTTAACACAGGAAAAAAAAAAGGCATAGTTATCTAAAGAAACTGCAGCCAGCATAGAAGACTGAATCGTTTTAAATTTCATATCCCAACCTCATCCTTTGTCAATAAAGCCACCTTTATATTTATCAATTTAATTATCAAAAAACTATCACAAAAAATTAAAATGATTGTATTAATAAACCAGGAATAGAATAAGTCTGCTCGTGAATAGAATAGATCTCTGTGTGCATTCAGAAAGCAACCTCCACATGAGAATGACAATGATATTATACTGTATGTCTTGTGTAAGGTCTTTTCTTGGACAGTAAACTGGAAACTTTGAGTATACTGTAATCACTAAAGACAGATCACTTGTTGCTAATTTGTATGGATAATTATATCAGGCCTTTTAATTAAAAAGGGAAGAAATAAACATGTCTATATAAAATGAAGAAAGAATTTGTAATCTGGTATTATTACCATACAACAGGTGGATGAATAAAAAAAGAAATCTCTGGTGATATGTAACCACAGTGTAGTACTACTGTATGTTAAGATCTAATGTAGTGCACTACAATAGCAAAAGCTTTATAAAGCAAAAAGTCACGTATATATTCTCTAGATAGCTAGCCTTAGATGAATTGATAGGGCAGCAGAGACGTGGCAGGTTTATAAAGTCACTGCTTTGGAAATTAAGCTATAAAGTGGCAAATTAATCATCATTTTGCAGGACTAAGTGACAGAAAAGTGCAATTACAAAATCAATCTTTCAGTGTAGCATCTGTAAAAAAATAGCTAATGGTATATCATTCCTTTTGTTAACTTGCCAGTTAACTAGGTCCATTTCTCTGTTTGGTCTGCTAACAGTTTTTTTTAAAAAGATACTGCACTTTCTTCATTTTGATGTTCCTGATGACAATTGTTAACTTTTGATTTTTCCTTCAGGACTTTGAAGGAATAATTCATATTATGGTTAAGAAACTCTTACATACAAACTGACTAATTGACTTAAAATGAGAAACATTTTCCAAATTATGCAACAAAACCATTCATTACTTTGAGTGCCTGCTTATACAGTAGCTCACTATTATCATTTCCTGCAGGCTCCATTTGGGGGTGAAGCAGATAAACTGGATTAGTATGTCGCAGCACCGTGAAAACATCTTATATCAGCTACTGCAAACACTAGTATTTATCATACAAATTAATTATAAAGAGCTGTTCAAGGATTTTGACATTCAAAGTGTTATACTTGACTTCTTTATGACATCTTAATCATATAACACGGTTAATTATTCCAAATTAACCATCCAGGAAAAAACATTATAGAATGGAATTTTCTACATAAAATGTATTCACTTTTTGTTGTCTTTCATATAGAATGAGCATCCGTTACACAGTTAACCAAATTTTGCTCATTAGTTTGTATACATAAATTAGATCCAGTTTTCTACTTAGTTTGATCAAACTATCACCTACTGTAATTCAAGTGTTTTTTTTTAAACCATCCTTAACTGGTTTCTCATTATAAGACATTAAGATTTAGATAGGTAATTGGTATTAAGATATGGGAAACATAATAAATAATAGTACTTAAGGCAAAAAAAAAACATTATACTGTATATAATGGCATTTCAAAATACACTATAACAAAAGTCAATATTTACTGTAAATATTCTACTTCCCATGAAACAGTACTCAATGTCCCCCACTCTCCACCAGTCTTGATATCTACAAGCACTCAGATAATCATATTGCTGAAATTAATCTTAACACAATAAAACCCAGGGGAAAACGTGCTCACAGATCTACTGGCAACATATTTATTTAACCATTTGAAAGCTGCGATACTTTGCAGTTATCAAAATCTATGTTTAAAATTAAAGGCAATAAAGACATACAGTAGATAAATAATTTGGTTAAGACGTGTTTCGGATTGCACTTCACTCTAAGGCTCGTTTAGAATTTCATATTTAAAAAAATCCCGTTTTGTAATGTGGTACTGTACATAACCTTCGAAACTGCTCATTGCCAGGGGGAGTGCTAGACCTGATCCTCTAGTGATGAATACAAAGTAACATCAAAAGTGGTACTTAATCAGAACAGCAGCTATTCCTGATTACAGAGAGTGGCTCCCTTTACCTGATGCCTCAGTTCAGTTAAATAATCCATGCATAACACCACATTCAGTGCTTGCTTTGCACAGACCCTTAATATTTTGTGTGACACATCATATGTTCCGGAGGATTTATAATAGCTTATCCATAACAACCAGAATGAATAGGTAAATATTTAAAGTAAAGTGCTACTAGTCTTACAGACATTGAAAGGTATTTAAAAGGCTCTAGTTAAAATCATCAACTGCAGCATAAGCACTGGCGTAACACTGGCACTTTCACTTATAGACTTACTTCTAATTAGTACAGTTGGTGCGGTGATTTTTATTACAAATTGCGCTACTTCTATTATTGTTTTAGATTTGTGAGAACGTTTAATCTGAAAATCATTGGACATATTATAGGAAAAGGGGAAAGTGATATATGGCATAACAGTAATGCAAAAGGGACCAAAGGGAAAGCCCCCAGCGAAGTAAATCTAACGCGTGAGATGATCGCTCTTTCACTGACACCTGTCTTCATCACTACGCCACACCGTGAATGCTAAGTGAGGGCACACATCATCCAATTCAACGGCAAGAAAAAGAAACGCATGTTCAATAAGCATGTTCTCAGAGTAAAATGTAATTTACTGTACGTTGCGCTGCCACTCCAACATTCTTTCTTTGAAGTTAAAATATATTAAAGAAAAACAAATATTAGAGTTAATGTACAGTACAGTAGCTTCTAGTGTCATTGTTTGCCTTTTGGGTTAAAATCACGGCTAAAGCGTTCAAGACGGTTCAAGATAGGCAATACGATTTCCAACGTAAAGGATGTGATGCTGACAATAACTGGTCTATTACTAATAGTATATAAACTCAAAAGATATGTTGCTTTTTAAATATTTTAAGCATCCATAATATTTATTATACTAAGATTCATATCAGTCTTCTCTGAGCAAGAGTATGTGGAAAAGCCCCTCGGGCACTTTATCGACCTTTCCTTGTCATACTGTACATGTCATAAAAGCTCTCCAAAAAGGAACTGAGTACACAATGTTAACACAGCAAACATTTTTCATTCTTACCTTACCACGGCGTACTCTTTTAGATCCTGAAAATAAGGAAGGACGTACTTTGAGTAGGTGGTCTGGAAAGGTTGCCGAAGCTTCGCAGCCGCTCAGAGTGCAGAAATGTATGCAGACTGATGTCCGAACAGAGGTTTGTTCTGCCTCACGTCTGGCTGTTGACTGCAGGATAACTGAACACTAAACCCCTCCCCCGTCCCACATAAAATCTTTATTATAAGAGAACAGCTACAGCACTGGAGCAATACCTATGCAAATACCAGGAGAGGGGAGGAAGCAACAGTCTTACATTAAATAAAAATACACATTCGCAACGCGCTGTGCGTCATTTATGTGAATTAGCAAAGTATTTTCTTTAAAAAGGTTGCATCAAAAAGAGCTACTACAAATTACTGCTTTCACGAAATAAAAACATAAATATATATGTATTTGTAAGTATGTTTTTGTTGACTACATTTTTATTGTAGTCTAAATAGTTGTAAATTTAAGGATAATCTTAGACGATTGCTAGAATAGAAAATTAATCAAATATTTGGAATTCGACAAAGTGCTTGAGGGTGGGGTAAGCAAATTATTTATCTTTATTGGCGCCCGTCTGATACTGTTGCACATCTATTTGGACTAGTGTTCACGGTATCTTTCATTTCGATTACCTGTTATCTACAAAATGAAATAGTTTCTCTGTGCAATATTTTCCACCTCCTTTCCCTGAAAATGATAAGCTCGCCAGCAGGTTAGAGGTATATTGCCAGGGCACCATAATAGAATATTCCTGCTATTAGGGCAGAACCACAAAGCCTTTTACTTTGAAGTGTAATGTACACGCTCACGGCACGAAGACGTTTTAGTCATTTTTTGACGAAATTGCTGTGCATAGGAAAACTTTCTTTCCAAAAAACCATAGATTCTAAAATAAATCACGTCTTTAAAACAACGCCGTTCTATTTGCATAAACTGGAATGAGAACATTAAAATTGATTATAGCTCTGAATTTGGTAAGTCACATCAAAGGCAAAACCGGGTGGTCGTATAATGGTCATCTAATGAGAAAATGCGACTTCTCATTGTCTAGATGCGGCAGGATATTAAGCTTTGTCATGACTAATTGCTGCAGTAATTACTTGACCTGTATGTGACTGAGTTACATTGTTACATTGATAGCAGTCTTTAATACAATGTCAGAGAACACCAAAACCTAATAACTGCTTGGATCAAAACAGGTGTTCCACAGAAGTGAAATGGTCAATAAGCTTTGTAAATCCTATAAAGTCTTACCGTGGCACATGTTCCACAAGCTTTGTATTGTGGAAACAACCCTGTAATGCAAGGTGGGCTTCACGATTGAAATCACTATGTCACACAATAAAGGATTTAGAACACTAAAAAATCCTCCTAACTATGTAACCGACCCTTTTTCACAGACTTTTCCCTGCCCTCTCACCCCCCACTTCCCCTGTCTTTCCTGGAACAGATGTACTGTATGTACCACAGTAATAGACAAGTCTGAATTAATACATTTTCATTAGTTTGGGCTGCACGATGTACCGTGTGATCGTTGCTGTTTAAGGGTTTAACGACAATACACCACCACCTTCTGTATAATGACTGCTGGAAAATAATACGGGTGAGCTAACAACAGTAATAAATAATAATCAAATGTTATTGTTTCAAAAGCTGTTGAATTTCAATGTTTTGAACATCCAAAACATTTTTTTTCCATGTCCAGTTATATTTCAATACTGCTGAAGAGCTCAACGGGATTATTTTTCAGCAGTCATTACAGAGGTGTCAATGGTTGTTTCTTCTGTACACTGTTTTTGTTCCTTTTACATTTGTGCTTCTCAGATGATTTTCAAGATACCGTAGATCTCTGGTACTGTGTGTTTCATCAGCATAAGATGCAGAAAATATAGAAAACAAATTCAAAAACTTTACACAAATAACCAGTGAATTAAATCTGTTAATCTGCTTTTTAACAAACATTCCCCTTGTCCCTCAATGCTGACAGATACACATTTAGACTCATAGCAGTCATGTAACTAAATTAACATACAGTGTAAAAGGTTAGCATTGCTCCTTTTCAGAATTGGTGGAAAACATTGCATGACCTCTTCTTCAAGTTGTAAGCCATCATATTACACTGTATCATAATTACTCATCAGTAATTTATTAAAAGATGCAATGTGTTACATATGTCTTAAGACACTGTGCAAAAATTAAAGTTTGTGCTCAGAGATACATATACAGTAGATATAGCAACAGTACAGTACGTACAGATTTATGGAACAGTACAAGAAATATTGATAAACATGTTTCGCATGTCATTGTTTGTGAAGATGTCTTCAATCCTCTGTTCTATTATTGGATGGAGGAGAGTGATTCAAACATAAGAAGTGGCATGTAATGCCATCTGCAGGTTTAAAGTCCATCATGTACTTAAAAGAAAGTTCCGTCTAGAAAGTGTTATCACTGTTCTTGGATGGATATGTACTTAAATAATACTTTGTATTGATTCAGATCAGTGGTTGGGAACATAGAAGGTAACCTGAACTAGTTTTCGGGGTTTAAAATGAGGATGTGTCAAGATAACAAATTATTTCAGGATGCACAGGAAGACTTTTACTCCAGAATTTACTTCAACTCCAAACAACAAATTAACTTTTAAGAGGTAACATATAAAAGTTTTTTTGTATATTTACATTTTCAACAAAACAACAAATCTAAAAATGAAGAAAAAATCTGGGGGAAAAACTGGGGAAAGAGAACAAAATGAACTGTCACATTGTGCACGAACAAAATGTAATCTACTGTTGCAGTGCCCTTTTCACAAACTCATAAAAACTCTTAACATATGCTGACTTTAATTTATTTAAGAAATTAAGTGCAATTTAGGGGTATCCCAGTCTCCCTCCAAGCTCATTAATTAATGTTTGGGCTGCAGTTAGACCCACAAACAAAGGTTATTGTGCCCAAATATTAGTGACACATAGTAAATTTAGAATTATCATCAAGATGGAACAATCACTACGGTACTATTTACATCTGAAGGCACATTAGTCACATATACCCAAAAGTATTCTCTTACAGGACAATCCCTGAATTTGTGTGGGCAGGGAGTGGATTAAGCCCAATGCATCTGTGGCAGAGAGATTGAGAATAAACTTCATCTGTTATTGCCTGTACAGTATGTGTGGCCTACAGCACATACTTTGGGCAAATTTAAATTGGATTACTTTGTGTAATTCACCTTCATCTCTTTAAGAAGAAGAAAAGATTTGTTACAGACTGTAACCCAATCCTGACTACCATCCAACATGTCTAGTTCACTGGCCTTTTTTTAAGAGAACTGTCAGGGAACTGATTTTATGAAAGTGAGGAAGTCTCCCTGAGATAATGAAATGTGCACAGAACATTGTCATGCAAGATGTCACCGAGGATGTGTACATTTCTTGTAGATTAGTTTTGGCAAGAAAAGCCTTAGAAGTCTTTTTGTCCTGTATGAAAATTAATAATTGGTGAATCTTCATGAAACTGAGAGGCTGCCAGGAGCACTGTTCACTTTCCTGCAATGTGTAGACACAATCGTGTCTCTGGGATCCGAAAATAATAGATCTTGGTCTAATTGGCTTAATTAAAACTTCTTTGCCTGATTCTCCAGAATCAAACCATGTCCACAACACTCTCAGAGAAACAGCCTAATAGTGAAACTTAAAATTTGGTGCTGGCAGGCTCAGACAAAGAGAGACTAGTTTTAACAGAATTAACTTGTTCTGTTATTTGTGTGGTACTCAAACAGGGATCATGGAAAGTAAGAATCAGATTCAAGGTTATTCATTCTTATATAGAAACAGTACTATTTAGTGGAGTGTTCCCAAGCCCTTTCCAGCCTAAGGCACACTTACTTTAATAAACGAGTTGTGTGGCAGACAGACCCCCTGTTACCAACTGCACCTATGGGCATTTGAACAAAATATAGCGTGTGTCTTATGTATGCAAATGTGAAGGGTCTCCAGTGAAACATGATGCATTTCATTTCTCAAGGTCCAATAAACTATGCTGCCAAATTAACATATATATTAAAAAAATAAGAATGAAAACTAGAATGTCTATGTCCTATTTAGCAATTAATGGCAGCTGAAAAACCAAAGCTATGGAAGCTAATACCAAACAACTATTACTATTATTGTTTTCACTATGTTGTACAAATCAAACCAATTCCTCATTGGTTTAAACTCCAACTAGGCCATATTTCATTCATGTTTTCCCCTTATTGGTTTTCACTGTAGAAGCTCCACAGCTTCTATAGGCTACTCTACATTTGGCGTTGTGTTGCCTAGCAAACACATACAGTAAGTTCTGCCAAAACCAGTACAATACCAGTTAAAAACAAAAAAAAATTAAAATTATTACTATGTTTACAAATGAGTAGCAGCATTAATTAGGTTGACTAGTATTACAATTGAGCACTGCAAATTCTTATCAATGAGGAAAAAGTGGTGGAGCCATATCAATCATACAGTACATGTTTCTAAAATGAACCTTCCCAATATAGTGCCGTGTCTAATAAATAATTCAATATAGCTTAACAGATTTTAATTTTTAACAAATATGATTTTTTTAAAAGTTTGTGGCATAACAGTTGGGAAATACTGTTGGAATGTAAAATAGATCATCCACTGTAGTTTAATATGCTTATATTTTAGCTGGACAGTATGACTAAAAGATATGATTGCGACCAACATATGTTACATTTACAGTACAGTGCATCCAAAAAGTCTATCAAATTTAGAAAAGAGGCTTAAGAGAACTAGAGTGGAATAACCCCGATAATGATACTGGACAACTGTCATCCACTTCTTCCCATTACAGTCTTAGGGAATCACTGTTCAGACTGCACAGAACTGGCTGAACTACCATAGGGTATAAAGATATTATTGATTTATTAATGGTTAAAGTAAAAAGTATTCTAGAATGACACATACAGTATTTGCTTTCCTTATCATTTACCAGTTTCAATTACTTATGAAATTGTTGTTTTGACTGATAAACAAATTGTTAATTCATTCATTAATAAATTGCATTAATGCCTGTTGTGTGTTTGATAGGCTAAAACCTATCTGATGTAGTTAATTTCCAGCTTCCCTTCAGTTTTACGATATACAGTAGCACATTAATGAATCCGAAG